CCCCAAAACCCCAAAACCCCAAAACCCCTCAGTTACACCCATATACACTTAATAGACAAAATAATTGATGTTAATTAAGAATAAATAGTTTTAATTAGTCATACCCAGAGTTTGATTGAACCATCTGAGCCACAAGAAAAGATCCAAGGTTGGGTGGGATGGAACTTGCAATTCATAGCACCAAGACCGTTAGCCTTGCTTGGCTCATGAGCTTTGAGGATTTTAACTGGAACAATAAGGGCGTTTTGTAGCAAGTCATTGAAGACCAATCCATAGAAGATATTTACACAACCGTCATCACTGCAACTTGCGAACAGAGGATGTTTCTAACTGAAGTGAACTTGTCTGATGGCTTTGTCATGATACTTTAGGTTTTTGTAAGGTGATGATCCCATGTCCATGTCAAACCAGATTATCTTTTTATCATAGGTTCCTAGAATGAAGTTGTCTCCCTTGGGATGCACTGAGATGCTCGAAATCCACTTAGCGCCTGAAGCGTATTTACTGACAATAGTCTGCTTTTGTAAATTATATTAGAAGACTGTGTGATGAGTTGCAGCAAAGAAGTGTGGCTTTGTTGGATGGAATTCTATCGCTTGAACTATACCTTTGGCTTGAGTGAAGGGCCTTTGGGAAGAAGCTTTGCTGAGTGAGTGAATGACTACCTATGTAGAGGACTAAAGATTGTAAGCCATAGTAGAGAAATAGTCTCCCTTAGAATGCCAAACAATAGCTTTGATGATATTTTAGAATGTAATCTTGATCATCTTAACACCTCTGAAGTCAGTTTCCCATTGCCATTTCAGGAACTATTCCTTTTTATCATTTAGTACCACATCTGTTCCATATTGCTTTTCAGCTTATAACAGAATTTAGTTTGTAGCTTCATTTATAGGTTGAGCATAGAGTTGAGGCTAGATGACATATACGAATTCTTCATTGGAGGCAGTCAAAATGCATCTGTCTTTGCTTGGACACCATTCAACACAATCAAGCACTTTATTCTCTAACTTGTATTTCCTTAGAATTCTTGTGGTTTAGACATGCCATACTACAAGATTTCCGTCTTCATCACCACTAGCTAGGTAATTGCCGCAAGGAGATATTGAAATAGATCTGACACAAGTCTTATGGAATTTATATTCGATTGAAAGCTGAGTTGGGAATGGCTTCAAATCACTTGGTTGAGGCAACTCAGGGATCAACTATGATGGATCAGTAATATTTACCTTCTTCTTGAGAACTCTTGGACAAAGATAAAGATCAAGGCATCTTTCGAAGTGTTCTCTAATAAGGTTTTGATACAGAGGCACTTTTCTCAAAGCATCAAACTTAGATGGCTAGTAGTTGTAAGGTCTATCCTCTTCATCTAATTTTTCAAACTCCTCTCTTTCTTTATCATCAAGTAAATATTCTTCAGGTGGGTTGTAGGACTCAGCATGAACTGGGAGATCTCTCTTTGGTGCAGCAATTGCCTTTGGCATTTTTCTTGGCTTCCATGTGACAACAGAGTCGTCCTCCCAGATGTCCCATACCTTCTCCTCTTACTTGCTCTGCTCATCTCTTTCCTTCTCTTTTTCCTCAAGCGTCTTCATCCATCCCTTTTTCAACGCCTGCACGAACTTATTAATCTTAAGTCTCTCCCATTTAGATGGCTGGAATCTGCGCTTGGGCTCATTATTAGTGAATGGGTGAATGAATTCCTTTTCATTATCAAACTCCACAATAAAATCATTTGGGTCTACCTTCTCTGCATATTTGCCACTACGAATTCTCTTAATCATATCTAAATCTCCTTTGGACAGCTTCACATTCTTGTTGTTCATGTAATCATTAATCTTAAGCCACCATTCCTTATCATTCTAGCGCTCAATGAAGTTAGCTAACTCATCAGTCTCTGGCAATTTAGCCACCTACTTTCCTTATATATTATAGCCTTGGTGATCATAGAGTTAATACCACTTTCTTGGGACATTTCCAGTTCTAATCAAGACCTCCTCATCAGAAGAATCATCTGAATCACCTAGATTCTTCTCCATGAGATTTACCTTTTCCAAGTCCTCTGCTTGATACTTGTGCTTTCTGGGCTCCTTAGACTTCTTTCTTGTTTCACTTGTTCCTGTACTCTTAACTGAGATTGTTTCTCTGGTCTGACTATGATTGGTTTCGGAGTTAGCCCTAGTTGATCTCTTTGCCAATAATTAGGTTAATGGCTTCTGCTCTGATTCTTATGTCTTCAAGTTTTTCTCACTTAAATCTTTGATTGATTTAGGCTTGAGAGCTGTCTTTTTCATCTTACTATTTAATATTAATAAATATTCTGCTATTACTCTCAAACACACTCTTTACTGCATTTAGGGGTTTTGGGGTTTTGGGG